TTTTTGGGGCCGGAGCTGGTCGTATCTTGAAAAATTCGTAAGGAGGGGTGTTCGTAACTAGAGGTACCACTGTACTGGAGATTACTCAGGTCCAGATTCCCATTCAGCCATGAATTTCACCAGGTGACTTTGACCAATTACTGCCTCTCAGCCAGGCTTGGGGTGGATAAATGTAGGAGAGAACCACAAACACACCACCTTGGGCTTTCTGAACAAAAATCAGGATGTAAATGTAAAAAATGAATGAGAGATTGTAAGAAATGGTGCAATACCATACAAAGAATAACAGGACTTGAAGTCTTGTCTGGTAAAAATCCATGACTATCATCTAAGATATGACAAGTTATAAAAAGAACCTGTCTGTCTCCATCTGCTAGTTGTGGACTTGTATTACACTAGCATGACAGGCCAATAATTTATGAGTCAATTACCAATGGTTGTTTCACAGAACATTTCATCTGCCACTTCATTGGCAATGTTGGCTCCCATGAGCACGCTCATATCTATCTTCAGTTTCTCTCGGATGATGTCTGATATGAGTTTCAGTCCTTGAGGGCCCTCATCTATACCCTACTTAACAGGAAAAAAGATGGGTCAAAGCAAAGCAAATCCAAGTGTGCTGCAATAGATTAATCCTATGGAACTGGTTGTACGAGTAGTCCATGGATTAAGAATGCCCTATTTAAGGACGACCCATAATTAAGAACAGAGCCTATTGTAGCAAAATTCAAGTTAAATACACAATGGTTCAAGTTCATTACACAATACTACTTATACAGTATTATACAATAATACTGTTCCAACTTACATACAAATTTGACCTAAGGACAGATCTTAGGAACAAAACTTATTCTTAAACTGGGAGCTACTTGTAGTCTAAGAAATTGAGCTGATGAAGAAATAGAGATGGCCTATTTGCCCAAGAACCTCTCCTGTAACACCCAGGCTTTTCCTTCCTTCCTTGAAGTAGCTTTAAGTTAGCATATTTCAATTTCATTTAAAATGAGCAGCTCAACTTTTCTTAGGGTAAATAGTGAGAGATGACCAAGCCATAGCATCTTTGTTTCTAGGACTCAAGGCCATAACTTGCAGTAGCAATGCAGCACTCCCATAGTAAGGGCACCCTAAATGAATATATGCAAACTATATTCATTAATATTAATAAAGATATTAAAGAAGTCAGTTGAAAAATTGACATAATGGCACATGTTATGTTCTTCTGATTTGGTTCAATTGCTACGTTTTGATTTTCTAATGTTACTATTTAAAACACATTTTTAAAAGGCATATAACGTAAGATATGCACCAACATATACAAATGCAAAGTAATGGCTCCGACCTATGGCAGGGGATATTTTAAATATCAAAGGTGTGCCTTGGTAGGTGGGCAGCGCCTAGCTGACCTTGGATGACCTGAGAAGCAAAGCAAGGCTGAGCCTGATTTGAAACCACGTGGGAATTCCAGGGCTGCTGGCAGGACTGAGACGTTTCAAAGTATCTTGGAAGAAGATGATGGCAAATTGCATTCATAACCCTGGTCAAGCTCAACAGGAGAGCTTCTTTAACATTTTTGAGCAAAGCTCTAATTCTGTTCATCGTGGAATATTCCATTTAGATGTAACTAATTAATCAGACCCCATATTTCAACCAATACCTGCATAGCAATTATCTAATCCTTTTTATGCTGTTAATTTAATCATATTTAGACGATTATATTTTCCAGAATAAGGTGAAAGGTCCCCATTAAAAGCAGAAATGGTATACAGACATTGAGTAAGAGAGCACTGATAGCCAGAGGAAGGAGAAGTGATCTTTGGCCAAGGTGTGTGACTCACCATTCAATTAAAAAAAAAATCTTAATGTTTAAACCAGGATGGATAACTATGGAAGCCAACTGTCGCTTTAATTTTGCAATACATATAAACAACTGATCTTCTACAGGCCAGCACTCAGGAAACAAACTGGCTGCTTATGCATTTATGAGACTGTGGAGCCACAGTTGAGTTTTAAGACGAGTAAGGGGAAATAAACACAGTTTTTAGGATTCCTATTGCAAAATATGGTATCATTCCTTTCTTGAAAGTGTTCCACTACAATAAGGAATAATGTTGCTTTTTTTTTTTTAAAGGAAGATTGGACACAATGCCAGATCCCTTACTAAATATGGATTAGGTTCACACACTGAGCTAAAGCATAATGTGCTTTTTTTGGATTAGAATATTGTATGAACTCAGCCACTGTGATTTGTAAACTGTGATTTATCCTTAGCATAAACTGAGCTCAGCTAACTGGTTTGCTCCACAGATCATGGTTACACAAAGCACAGCTTAATGCAGTATGTAAACTAAACAATAGTTCATAAATTTGCATCAGTTATTTTAAAATGGGTATTTTACTGTTTATTTTTTATTAGCTCTACACCCCAGCTTTCTACCAGAAATAGCATTCAAGGTGGCTAACAATAAAATAATAAAATTATAATAACATTTTAAAACACACTTCAAATAAAGATCCATGAATAAAATAACCTTCCTACTTAAAGAAGAAAACACCACTCATTACCTTGATGAGTGAAATCCCAATTGCTCCTGCTTTTACGTGACCAATAAGTTGTTCACAAATTTTGGGAATAAACTGATGAGGTACAACAAATATTAAAATATCCGCTCCATCTGCTGCTTCTCCTACTTCTGGTACAGCAACCTGAGGGGAAAAAAGATTACTGCCTTCTCCCACAGAATACTGAATGAGAGAAGCACTGCGGGAGCAAAACAGTCAAGTGCAGAGAACATGTAACAAGCCATAAATATTTGTTTGCCAACCATTTGTGCAAAAGTGAAAAATGTAGACAGATGGGACTTCTAGTTGGCACATAAAAAGCTAAACGTAATGTATATTTATCTTCATTGCGATGTTTGCATATGGCTGTTTAAAGGCATGCAGCTTGTACACATAACACCAGTGTTTCCTACAGGAATTGCAACAATAGTCTATTTAAGAACATTCCATACCAGAATTCTATTAATTCCTGCCACAAAGAAGGTAGGGCTTCTCTCACAGGGGTTAATTCAGTGAGAAAAAGTGCACAATTTTATACTGACATTACAGAACTATTCAGGCACAGCCAGACTTAACCCTCAACAAGGAAAATGGCCTGAGACACTTTGGTCTACAGTTCTGTTAACAAATGAACGTGCAGTGGGCTCTGCAACAAAGTGGGAGAAGGGGTGGCAGGTCCTGCCCCACAGTGGTATCACTGCTACTTCACAATATGTGTCTGTGTCTTGGTGGGGCATCATGTGTATGCTCAGATGTTGTGAAAGTTTATCTTGGTTCCTTCTTCCCAGCAGAAAACCAGCCCAATTCCCCCATGCTTTGGGCCAGGAAGTCAAGTGAGCCTGATGGCTGATTTGTTACCAATAGAAGAGAATATATGTAGCTCAGGCTTGAACTGTGGAGTCCTTGGGGTTCTCTGAGCATGGTTGTTTTTCTTGCAAACATTTTGTAAGATGTTACCTAGCCAGGTAACAAAAGGTTTGCAAGAAAGCAACCAAGCTCAGAGAACCGCAAGGACTCCAAGGTTGATTTGTTTCATTCCAGTTTTGGGATTAAAAGTGGGATCATTTTTAGACCTCACACTTATATCATTTGCGATTGGAATGTGTATTTTTATATTGTGGTGGTGTTTTGGGTTTTAATCCTTGTCCACTGCCTAGGGTCACTGTTGTGAGATGGGTGGCTATATAAATTGTTTACAATAATAAAAAAAAAAGCTTCCCAAGAAGAGACCAGCTGCAGCCTGCTGCTACTGGACATACATTTTGCTAGCAAGGAATAATTAAAGTGCTATTTTATTTTATTTTTTATGGCACCCTCTGCTTGGATTTTTTAAAATTTTTCTGGCCATCAGGTTAAGTCAGTTGGCTCCACTGGCCACAGTGTGGATGCCAACATCAGTGTGGCATCTTGATCTCAACTGCATATATTCCTTTTCCTTCTTTACATTTCAGTCTCACATGATGAATTTGGGAACTGTAATTTGTTCTCACCTAAGTTACTTCATTCTACTTCCTTTGAACTCAATTGGAATATGATTTAAAACTGAAACCATTTGTGTATACTTTGCTGTCACTTACCACATTTGGAGGTATTTTATGCCCTGGGAGATACTTCACATTTTCATGTTCTTGGTTAATGATCTCAGTGAGTTTTCGACCATTGATCAGTTCTTCAAATACCCACATCTTCACAATAGGGTCAAACTGGTTGGACTTTTTGGTATTTTGGCCTATGATTTTTGAAATGGCAGTTCCCCTTAAAAAAACAAAGAGAAAAATATGAAGTTTCAACTATTTATATGATCATTCATAGGAAGAACATACTTTCTTTAAAGTTATTTTATTATATTAAATTAATAGCAGAAAAAGTATATATATGCAACTCCATTAACAATATGATGCAATCTCAAAATTCAGCATCATCATCAAAAAGAAAAATTGCTGGGAAAAAAAGGCTTAGAAATTATCCCCGAAATGTCTGAATTTCAATTTTTGCTCTGACTAGGGGTTGTATTCCATGGCCCTAGTCGCTCCCTTCAGCTTTAGGATTCTAGGAAACCTTACTGTTACTCGGTTCTTATGAATATGGAGGAGACTGAAGCTTCTATTCATTAACTCTTTCTGTAAAGGAACATTACTATGTCACCTTTGTTTGTCCAGTTGGATCATTAGCAGCAAGGTGGACTCAGTTACAGTGGTGATGGGTCCACCATTGGAAGGCTTAAAGGACCAGGTTAGGGACAGATCATCACAGAAAAAATCTGTCTATGTGGTTGCTAAGCTAGGAGTCGAGACCAATTTGATGGCCCATAATCAATCAATCAATTGGCCAGTTGAATTGCACCTTATTTTTCATTGCTTATGTCTGCAACATTTTAGTAGCTCATACTTAGAGTCACTAGGAGCCAAGCTCAACTGGAAGGAGATTTTACATGATTTAGTCAATGACTTTCAAGTAAACTAATATTCAAATGCCTTACAGGTACATACGTTAAAAAAGAAGGAAAAGACACACCAGCAACTGATGGAATTCCCATAACTCAGCCAGTCAACTTTCACTTCTTGCTATACACAAGCTAAACAAAATGCAGTAAAGCATTTGCCAAGAAAACTAATGCAAAAAAGCTGAGAAGGGTTGTGAAAAAAATTGCTGTTGCAGAAAGCGACTACTGTATACATTTTACATGTGTGTATGACTTTAAAGCTTTTTTGTGACTCATAAAAGAGATGCGTTTTTAAAATATAGATAATAGTGTATTTTGTGTGGTTAATCCTTTAAGGGGCAAAGCAGATAGGAAGAATTCAGGGCAAGTACAGCTGAGAAGTGATCTCAGCTAAGAAAAGGCAAATTTATCAGAACTAGATCTCTTTCTGTATAGCTCTCTTTCTTTTCTCTCTCTCCCAGATTGAGCAATGTAACCAGAGCTTGCTTCATTAATGGTGAGAGGTGTGAACAGTTCCTTTGATATTGTTAATTAGTTATAACCTCCCAACTGAACTTTGTAATATATATGATAGCTTGCTCTATCTGTTAAAACAGGGTGGGGAACTGGATTGAGCTCAGGGACCAAACAACAACAACAAAAGTACCAGCCAAAATTCCAAATGCACCCATCAGTCCAAAAAGGTTGAGGACTTCAGTTTAAGTCTTTCCCTGGCCTCAGAAACCAGCCTGAATTTTAGATTGTTTGATGTAATTTCATTCTTTTGGCTGACTTTGCAGCTGACAGAAAAGAAACATGAAATTTGCTCTCCTCAACCAATCAATAACTATTAGTCATATCACTCTCCACATTCAAAGGGCAGCAGTACACCTTCAACAACTGGATTCTGGGAGAAAACAACATGATTTGTACTTATTTCCATTATAATCTGGTGATAAAATGTTCAGGCCATTTACATCATAGGGGGCTAAGAATCAGGTTATTCTTATATTTACTTCCTGGAATGTCTTAACTGAGCCATGGAAGATCACTGGATGACAGTCTCAAGCGTGCGTGCACACACACACACACACACACTCATTTTGTAGGTGTATTGTGATGTCACATGCATGTACAAAAGGGGTAGAGTTTGTATGTAACAGTGTGACCCCGACTTTGTCATTTCGACTACAGGCTCCAAGCTGCAAACGCCTTTGGTCACTAGCTCTCAGCAAAATCTCCCCTATAGAGTAGCTTAGCTGTTGCCAGGCAAATTAGAAGAAATGCCATGTAAGCTACTTTTTGTTCCTGGAGGAAATACAAGGCATAACTCTAATAAATAACAGCCTGAAACAGAGATGGGGAAGGATTTGCAATTTCATGGTTTAAACATATCCTATGGTTTCCTTTCAAGATGTCCAAAGTGGATCTCCTTTTTTTTTTATGCAGCTTTAGAAGTTCCATCTGGACTAAGATCTAATAATAGAAAACATACTTTCTTTAAAGATTTTTTTCTTTATACTACCTTTGACTCAAACACCTGAATATTTATTGATTTGTTTGTTTGTTAGCTAATTAGTAGCACACAGGAAAAACTGCTTGAAAAAGTGTGAGGGATAAATCAAAGAAGTAGAGGAAGCCGTAACAGAAACCCTCCATTTGATTTCATTAAATTAATCAAAATACATTGAATTAATTACAGTTCATATCATTGTATTTTTGATGTATTTAATAAGCGTTCTTGATTACATTGCACATCATAGTTTAGGGACAACTTCTGGAGGAGTTTTGGGGGACCCCAGCCAGGACTATCAGGGATGACAATCCTGAAAGTTTCAGTCATTAAAGTTAATGTGCCTGTAAGAGCCACTGCACTTTGTTTTTTTCCAGGCTTCTGTGAAAACCTTGAAAGAAGAAGGGCTGCTTTAATGAATATTAGAGGTGCTAAGCTTGCAGAACATCAGAATAACTTCTTTGGAATCATTTTCAAAGCACACAAAGGCCTAGAATCTAACACTTCTCCCACCTCAACTTAATGCCCCGTTCACATTCTGTTTCTAATCAGCACTTCTCATTATCACTAGACACTGATGCCAGCAGTAATTTGGCAAGGAAACAGCTCCTCCTTCATTAATTTCTTTTTCTCTTTAAATTGACACCCATCACTGCTTTACATATATGAGGCTTTATATAGTCAGTGCTGATTGAAACAGAGAAGCCTGATCCCATTATGTTTCATTTTGCCCTCCTTTGAGGAGAAATATCTATACGTATGAAAATAAAATAATGGAAAGGAAATTCAGGAATCAGGAATTCTGGAGTATAATGATTGGGGATGATGCTGCAAATCCAATGAAGGAAAAGAAGGCAACTTATAGATGGATGCATTTCAGTGTTAGACTGAATTTCACCAACTTGCACGGTTATAATAGAAAAGGAATTAATGAAGTAAGAAATGGACCTCTCCAAAAATTGCCAATTTTCTTCTTTATATTTTAACTCACTGTATTCACCCCGAGAAAAAATGATCCAGAATTTCAGGCAACCAGCTCAAACAATCATCAGAGAGAAAGAGAGGGGGGAAAAACCCTACCTTGATGATTGCATTCCTCACCATTCTAAGACCATTCTCCTATTTAAAAGTAAATTATTTGGGGAAAAAACTAGTTTTTCCTTCAGTTAAATTTAGTATATTTCTCGAGTTGGAGGTATCCTGCCATGAGTGTCCACAGGGTATCGTCAAAAAATCAAGTTGGCAGCCACAACATCCTGGAGGAGTTCTGGGCAATGTGCATAAAAACAGGTTGAGATTTGCTTGCACTGTCATGTCTGCCACTTGACTTTTCTGACAACACGTGAGGACACCCCTGTACCCTGTTGTCCATAATAGATCCTAGGAATTGGCCTTCAAAAAAGTTAGTCTCCTGATGCATGTCTTTCCAACAGCAACAACTGTTTCTCCACAAAGGCTGTTATGTCTCAAGTGAAACTGGGTAATAGGGTAGCCAGATTCAAGGATTTCTTACACACGCATATTTGTAGTATCATTGTCAAAGCTCTCTTACCAGTAATATGTAAAATTATAACCTCTCCTTTAAGAAATTCAGGATTTCTGAGTGGGGCTGGCTTTCAAATGAAGCAACCTAATTTTCATTGTGTTATTGTTACCATCATCATTTGCTTCTTTTTATTTCTTTTGCCATTCAAAAACTAAAGTGAACACTCATTATCCTTGGTTGATAAGGGTGATAGGGTTGATAAAAGTAACCTGAGACCGCTTTCATACAAAAAGATTGTTGGTCAAAATTTCCCAGAAATTAGGAGTGTGACCTTACAAATTTAGGAAATGCTGTTAGGGCTCCATGAGGTTCATGAGATCATGTCCTTCTGGGTAAGGGGAGATGAAAGGACGCTGAATTTCTGGCATTGAGGAACAGAAGCTAAACTGCAGGCATATTCAATATGTTTTGCAATCAGAGCCATATTTCTTTAACTGACAACATTGATGTTAAAGTTCATGGCTGAGTAATCTTTTAAAAAACATTAAAAAAAAACTCTTTTGCACAAAGACACACATTTCTCAATAGCTGTTCTTTTGATGAAGAGGTACAATATTGAGACTTCATGACCTTTATACAGACTAGTTATTTCATATTCAGAAACAGCTGTTGGTTGGGTCAAATAGTTTTGCCAATCATTTTGCCACTAATTGAGGTATAAATCAATATTGGCTATTAAACTCAAAATCAGATTCATTTTTAACTAATTCATTATTGCAGATAATTATCTAGATTTCAATCAATGTTAGGTTTGATTTTTCCATACCACACTTTTTGTCAGAAGACCAGGATTAAAAAGCTCCTAGGACAGTTCAATATCACTCATGAGACATCCATTTACTGTATATTATTATTATCAGCCTGAGTTGATCCATGGCAGGATTAAGAGCATTTCACTGAAGGTTATGGACTGTAATCTACCATGCTAGTCCAGTGCAGGTTGAAAAATTGATTGTTTTGACTTCTCAGTTTAGGCTGAGGGAGAGTGACTGGCCCAGAGTCATCCAGCCAGCTTCCATGCCTAAAGAGGACTAGAAGCAGGGAGACCCAGCTTTATCACTACACTACACTGGTTCTTAAGCACTTACATAACACTGGAAAAGATCAGAATTGTACCCTAAAGACAAGGTCATAAAGGCCACAGAGTTTCATTTGCTAATTCAAGGGCAAGCAACCATTTAATGCCTGGAAGTTGCATTTTGAAAAAATATTTTAAATCTTTTTTTGGGGGGGTAACTGATGGTGGGTGTGTGGTGGTGATACCTGAGCAGACAAAGGAAAATCTTTAGTACTTTGCCTAATTCGGGGGTGGGGAAGGGCTTGGGAGTTTGATTAAAATGAAAATAAATTTGTTAAAACTGCTAGAAGTTTAATACACTTATTTTGCATCTTCTTTTTTTTTAAAAAAAAGCAAAATATTGTACCATCATGATTCAGTAATTTGTTACTGAACTTCAACGCTATCATCTCATGGTGGGGGGGGGGGAAGGGGGGGAAGCAACTAAAAGGGCTAGAGATAGCATGTGAATCATTGGCCAGAGATTACCCAATCCAGTGCTTAGATATATAGATACATATTTAGAAGTTCCACAATTCCACAATTTAGTTTTATCAGGTTACAGTACCTAGTTGACCCTGTATGGGCCTGGAAGCTAAGCACAGCTGGGCCTGGTTAATACTTGGATTGGAGACCAGTAGGAAACTGCATCATTGTGTTAATGAAGTCACTAGGAATTGTGCTCAGCTCAAGGGAGAATTTCTCTTTGCTTTCCTATAATTTAATTGCTCCTGCAGCTCTCATGTTTGTGCAAAGATCATTAGTGTCTCTCTCCAGTGTCACTGATGACTTCAATGATAAGCAGTGCATTTCTCACATTCAGGGAACTTTAACAAAATGTTCTAAAATGGGGCCTTGCCTCATGTATCGAGGGATTGCTAGAGCCTACATCTAACTCTTCAGAAAAAAGCAAACAAAACAATAGGTATAAAACACTTTTTAAAACTGTTTCTTTTATTTTAAAAGTGTGTAGGGTTTTTTTGTTTTGTTTTTGTTTTGCAGAACAGGTGCCTTTATCCAGTACACCTGGCTTCTGATTGGAAATCTTTCCTTCTGCTTGGGATGACTGCACGGCCAGCTTTAAAGGTTAGCCCTCTATCTGATGGCCTCTTCTGTTTGTACACCCCAAATCTGCTTCAAAGACAAAGGACCAAAAGAAGGAAGAAGGAAGCTTTGCAGCTGGTGCCAATGCTGAGACTGGAAAAAAATGGAACAGGTAAGCTGGAGGACACAGGAACATGTCATCAGCAGAAGGAAAGATCAAGAAATTCTGTCAGCTGCTGGGCAAATTCCTTCAGGCACCCATAATGTATATAGTTGCATGATTTTATTCACCATTGAATAAATTGTTCAAGCAAAACAAAGCTTCCTTCAGTATGTGGATCTCTGGGAGAATGTCCAAATTGGATGTCTGGTTGACAAAGCTGTGCTGTTCTATAATAGAAATGTAAAGTTCTATGTAAACCGAAACATGATTAACAGAGACTATTCATGAAAAAAGTGGGGTGGGGTAGTGAAGAGAAAAAATGGATTTGATCAGTGTAAACATCATCAGGGTCTCAGCTTGTAAAGTCCCCAGGTTAAGAATGCCCAGGGTTACAGATGACCCATAGTTAAGAATGGAGCCTATTGTAGCAAAATGTCAGTTAAATACACAATGGTTTGAGTTCATTACGCAATACTACTTATACAGTATTATACAATAATACTGTTCTGGCTTACATATAAATTGTTCTTAAACTGGGGACTACCTGTACTGTAAATCATCTGGAGTGGATCGACTTTTGCAGGAGATGTTCCATCAAAACGTTTTCAGGACAAGACAGCTAAGATTGCATGCCAGTTCCCTCTGGGTTCCTGAACAAACTCTTTAGGAATATATTTGATATCTCATCTGGTATTCAATTCCAAATCCTTGTAAACACCACAAGAGGAAATCTAATATCCATCTCTATATAGCATCTTTATGTATCATTATATAATTATATTGAGTTTCTAGTTCATTGTGATCTTGAGTCAAATACTTGTTTTTTGGCCTTACTCAACTCATGTGGTTGTTGGGTTGATAAAACTGAAGGAATGAGGGAGCTCCTTTGAACTTTTTGAAGGAAAAGTGCACAAAATTACATATTTTAATTAAATATTCTAGAATAAGTTTTAAAACCCCATGCTCATAACCAGGCTAAAAAGAACATTTATTTTCGGAGTACCCTGTTTTGAATAATATGATGAACAGTAGCTAAAGGATGGTCAAAGGATCATTTATCTACAAGAAGTCTTGGGGTACCTTAAAAATCAACAAATGTGCAATGGCACAAGCTTTCATGAACCTCAGTGTGAGTGCAAGAATGTGTGAATCCCCAAAAGGATTTTGTAAGTGGTCCCAGTTTCTAGGTTAGCTAGTACCTCACCCTGCACTCCCTACATTTCATTTCCCTCCCTCCTGCCCTTTATTTCCTCCTTGCTCAAAGGATAGATATTATCCTGTCCAGGCACCTTAATAAATTTGTTAGTTTTTAAGGCGCCACAAAACAGATGTGATTTTACTGCAATAGACCCCCGTGGCGACACCGTTGGAGGCCGCCCAGACACTGCTCGGTGTTCATATGCGGTAAAGGAGCGCCTAACTGGGGTCGGTGGGTTGGGGGCGGGGTGTCATCGTTTTTCTCAGGTGTGTGAATACACAAGGGGAGACTGGCGCTGCCCGAAGAGTAATCTGACGAAGAACTGGCCGCGTTAGGAACTACAAAACTCGCGACTCTCTCTTTTCAAAAGGTACAACCATCGTTCGCCCTGGTCGCCCCCCAGGGACGGTGGGGTCCGTTCTCGCCCTTCGATTAATAAAGGGCCTAGAGGCGGCCCCCGCCCCGGAAAGTCGCAAACCAAGCTCCCGGGAAGGGAGGAAAGGGGGGCTCTCAACAGGTCCCTACCGCCCGCCCCCCGGCGTCCATAATCCTCACCAGTTGCCGGATCCGATGAGGCAGACCTTCAGAGGAGGCATGGTGGTGGTGGTGGCGGTGGCGGTGGCGACGGC